TTTCCCTTTCTGAAAAGATAGTATCACTTCAGTGACATTCTTAACTTCTGTGACTGCTACACTGGGTATTTGCTTAATTGATTTAGAGCATTTTGACTGTCCATCCCTGGAAGTCGTCAGACTGGAGACTACTACTTATTGTCAGACTTAGCCAGGGTGCCTGAAACTGCATTTGCTCTAAGTGGTAGTAACATCCATAACATTTGTATTTATTAAGTAATCCAAAAGGCAGTAAGAGGTCAGAGAAATATTACAGGCACTATACAGAAAGAATTCACCTTAATTTCAGGCAAATTTTTTTTCAAGGCCATTACTCAGTAGAAACCTTGCACAACCGCTAATCTAATACAAATAACTTTTTTCCTCCATAGAAATCAAACACGACTCTAGTGGGGTTCTTACAGCTGAATATAAAATAGCAAGAAAATCAGGACTAAAAAAATGAAAAGTATTTCTTTTGTCCTGAACAGCAATTATGTCAGTTAAATCTGCTTAACTTCAACAGCAGATGGTCATGGATAAGAACAGTCAAAAGAGGTTTGGGAAATTCTCTTCAAGGGAAGAGCAGCACAGATGAGCACTGCCTGTGCACATTAAGGTTTCACACCAGTTGCACAAACAAGAAATAGGAATCACAGCTTCAGCAAATTTCTTAATACCCAGCAACACAAAACACATCTATCCTAAGTTTTCAGAAGGCTCAAGTAAGGCTTCTACTTGAGTAAGATTACAACTGAAGTTTCTTTTAAAAATTAAAACCAGGTTTGCTGTTTTCTTTTAATTCTGCATTACTTACATTGATTTCTCTTACATACTGCAAGGAATAAATCACTCCAAGCTTGCAAAGTGCTAGGAAGACTGGAACCTGAGCATCTGGGCTTGCTTCAGCTGCCATGTCATAGAACCGTTTAGCAAGATGAATATCCTAAAGTTAAGAAAATACAAAACTCAATTTTGAAGAACTTGAAAAATTAAACAGTGTAGAGCTTTTCTATATGCTATTGTATGCTGTCACTTCAATACAAGGGTTTTGGTAAAGTCAAACCAAAACCATTCAGTAAAATTTCCCTTTTTTTCACCTGAGGAATGTTCACCTTTGCACAGACAAGTAGAAGGAAGCTTTGATTTGAGGATGAAGCTATTGTAACTGATGCTAGAGTTGAAGCTCACAAAGAGATCAGTAATAATGTATTCCACCTATGCACTGTAAACTAAGGCAAATATTTAGGTAACTCTAGTACAATCTAACATCTCCAACACCGTATCAAACACGAAAGACTAAGAAAACCCAAGTCCCAGAGGAGTGTGCAGCAGCATTTCCTCCCAGTCATACTACAGTATGCCTGCTGTATAGTGCAGCTTCTAATCATTTCTGCACATACACACAAATTAGATTTTACTCCTTATCCATAACTTGCATTACTGAGGGCAGCCTGGCAAAAGCATGAGCACAAAGTGGGCAGCTTTAGGAAGAGCTGAAACTAGTGTTCTGTGGCAGCTGGAACAAGGCAGCAACTATAACAAGAGCAGAGGATACGTGTACCTGAATAGTTTAACGTTCCTTGTTTGTTAGGGTTTTTTTGGCTCTGCTTCAGATACATAGAGTGTGATTTTAGGATGCTTGAATACAAACGTCTACATTTACCCAAGGGATGTGAAGGACAGGCCTGTGTAATACTTATCTCTGGAAGGGTTCCAAGTTAGACACTTAAAATAAGAGAAATCTCCAGGACTTCAAGCCACATGTTCATTTTGTAATTTTATTCTGATTGTGAAATAACACAACATGGTGTTGTAGAAAAACCACTATGAAAATCAACACCTTACGTGAAGGAGATGTAGTAGCTCACAGTTTAGTATTTTAATTCAACAGACTGAGTCTGAAGAGTCTATCAGTTGTATAACTATTTACAAGAGCTTCTTTACCTTCTTTGTACTGTGCTAGTGTTGGTGTAAAAGCAGATCCTAAATCATGGCTTATTTTCACTTCTAATTAGCAAGCACTTCATTCTGCTTATGCATACTTCACTCTTACTTGACAGAGAAGTGAGAATCATAGGAGTCTGAGCTTTAACACACAAACAGCACTGAAATACCATGCTAAATCATAAGAGGAGACCATGTGAAAAATAACTTGTTCTTATTTTTGAGCAGTATATGGAAAGAGTCTTCATTCTGACACGTAGACTCAAACTGGACAATATTAAGGCTATGAAGAGTGTGTAAGTGTACATGTGTGAGATTTCTGAAGAGGCTTAATATTTGGCATTGACCTGGTATGAGTCTGAAAACCTCCTATGTACAGAAAGTATAGCATAGAATCCTATATGTAAGAAGCACCATTAATTCAATAAGTAAAGAGAGAATATGGCAAAAGCTGTTGGGTAAAAAACCCAAAACAACCAACCCACATTAAGATATACCATATTTATACAGGATTATCCAGAATGAAGAATGACCTGAATTGAAGTTGTGCAGGCCACCCTGTTGGAACATTCTCCCTAACTCTGCAGTGCCTGCTATCTTAATGACGTGAATATAGGTGAGGAGAGAGTTAAAGTACACATTCATTCCTTCAAAAAAGTTTATCCCCACTTTTCTTAGATCTATAGTGCTAAAACATTTACATGTCCCTTCCAGCGGCCTCTAGTGGAAGAACAGACATCAGCAGTAGGCATCCTACTACATTAGGAACCACAGTTTTAACTGTCAGTCATTTCCAGAGGTGCTCAAAATTCAAGTTTCCATTCTGGGAAAGGAAAACCAAATCTTCTCCTGCTTCATGCAAAACTCAGCCTTTTTCAGAATATCCTAGCCCAGCCCTAGTCTCATCTAGTCAGTCCTGAATCTCCATCCTCTCGTCTTAGAGCTGTAAAGCTTTAGAACACAGGAAGCAAAGACATTACATATCCAGAATTACTAAGACATGCAATTTCCTTGCTTAGACATTCTCATTGATTCTTTCCCATATCTATATTAAGTATCTCCACTTCGACTCTTCTTTCCAAAGTGGATCTGTAGGACAGAAAAGTATTATTCCTTGGCATAAAGCAAAGCTACATACACTCACTGTGAGCCCCTGTGCACCCATTTCAGCTATCTATGCAGAGCCATCTCTGCTTCAGGTTGGAGAATATTCTATGCAAATGATAGCATTAGGACTCATTTCTCTCATCATGCTGAACATGATGCAATAAGATTTTCAAAGTTTTAATTACTTGATCTAAATTGGGTTCTATTCAAGGCAGTAGCAAAAGAAAAATGCCTGTGTCTGAAAAGACTTGTTTTAAAGAAAACCTCCCAACATTTAGCTGCAGGCTTATTTGCAGAACTTAACTAGTTTTGAGGACTCAGCTAAAAATAGAAAACAGTTCTAAAAAAATTTGAAAACAAACTTCAGAAAGAATGCAGTTTGTATACTGTGTTGTCACTTCTAGATCAGTAGGCAGTTTCCAAATGTTGATTACTTGTAACAACACTGACCTAAGATTTGCTCTTCTTTGTTCTGACCTTTTGCCAAGAACTTACAGGAAAACAAAACAAGTCTCCTAATAGACCAACAGAATAACTAAAAGGTGCATACCTAGACAAAACACAAACATTGAAGCTCACTGAAAACCAGGAAAATGAAGCCCTTTCTTACAGTTTCAGGTGAAGTTACTACTAAATTTGTACATTAATTGCATGAATCAGACATTAAGGGAAGGGAGGCTGTTCAAATTACTATGCAACTACTAATTACATTATTTTGACACATACAGAACATGCTGCTCTGGATTACATAAATTTTAATTAACTTATGGACAGCACTACATCATAAGCTTCCTAGAAGAACCAGACACACTGCCTTCTTTAGGCAACAGCAGTTTGCCTAATTTGAGAAACCATAGCTAATAATCACCTTATTGTTAGTTCTTATGGTTTGTTTATTTGTTTTCAAAATTTCATGATACAGGAGACAATCTAATCAGTGTTTCAGAAGATAAAAATAATCTTGTGCTAAAATACTCTTAGACTGGAGTTAATTTGTATTCATTTCACTATACTTCAAAGTCTTGAAAGCATTACTCAAGTATACAGTACTCTTTTTGTCAATATTCACAGTTTTGAGCAAATTTTTCCTGTCTGCGCATCATTTCTTCATATAGTTCAGTGTGGATGTACTTACTCCATTTCCCATTGGTGACACGCTAATTAAGTGGTGATATAGTACCCAAAGCCCAGTAGTGGATATATTAGTAAATGAACTGCAATGAAGCAGACTATCAGTCTACAGCTTACTCACCTGCTTGATGCCCAATCCCTTCTCATGCATGTAGCCCAGGTTAAACATTGCTTGAGCACTGTGCTGCTGCTCTGATGCCAGTCGATAGTGAATAAATGCAGTTTCATAATCAACATCAGTACCAAACCCATAAAAATGGTAATCCCCAAGTTTAATTCTTGCAACAGTATATCCTATAAATCAAGAAACAAAACCAAGAATGAAGTAGCTAGGCAAAGACAGCCTTTTGGCCTCCTAGTAAGATGCAATAAAGACTTTAGTATTATTTTCCACAGTTTGCATAAACTGTTTATCTCCCTCCTCTCACATAAACACTTACTTTTAAAACTGGGTTTAGCTAACCAAAACACACCCTATAAGATAGGTCCTTTTCCTAGTAATCCTACCAACATTTTTATTGTTATGAAGTGGTATCAACTGAAAAGCCATAACTGATTGGAATGGTGAGGTACAGACATACCTTGAGAAGCTGCTCTATTCCAGTGAAGCAAAGCTCGAGGATAGGTTTCATTTTCTCCTACTATGCTAGCTTCTTCTGGAAAAGAAAGTCATTCAGTTAAATAGGACCATGGTATATGCACACAAAACTACAACCTCCCCCCCATGCTTACATTCAGTCTGCTGAAATAAATTAAAAACTGAAGCAATCTGTGTTATAACACAAACAAGATTCCACTCACCTGAAACTTATAAAAAACCCTTTCACTTATATAGCTTTTCCATTTATCTGCCCACATAAGAGCTAGGAACAAACTGTATCATTTCGCCCTGGACTATGGCTTACCAAGTGTCTCTCTCATTCCTGCAGTAGGAGATTCTGATGCATACTTGAGGAATGACAGAGGATTCAAGTCTTAAGGGCACATCACTTGGGCTTTGACAAAGGTGCACTCAAATACAATGCTAAAGGATAAACTATTTTAGTTTAGCTATCTGAAAAACAAGACTAGTCAAGTAAAACAGACTTAAAACTCCTTAACCAGCCAGAGACTGCACATTTTACACATCAATGCTTCAGCTACTTCAGATGTTGTCCACGTCATCATTGGAGGGTTCCTGGACTATAAGAGTTCGGACAGTTCAAAGGATTTATAACTTTAAGTGTAATTATGGTTTCACTGGTAGTACCTCACAGTTGATATATAGATTTTCTGTATAAAGTGTATAAAATAATTTTTAATTAATCTCTGATTAAGTTGTAGCTATATCAGAGTTTTAACACAGGGGAAAATGCTATTTCTTTGTAAGAATGCACTCCCAGCCAAGCCTGTCGTTGCTGCAGCTTATCTAAAGGCACCTTTGAAAAACATTAACTGGAAATTAAGATGTTGATAAGCCTATCAGCCACCAACAGCTGCTTTCTACACTAAGATATAATGCTCATAATGAGCCCTAGATTTGAGAATGAGAAAATTTAAAATACTGGTTTTTTTGTCGCTTGTACTTCCATTGTTTCCCTATGACTTCAAACATATCTTGAGTTCCAGCAATCTAGTTCCAATCAGAGAAATGGGACAAGTTTTCTTCAAATCCAACAGAATCAGCTGCACAGCCCTTTATCCCTGCTTCAAGAGTAGTACAAGTAAAGACACAAAAATCCAGAAAGTGCTGAGATAAGACATTACAAGAGAGAAGACAAAGGACACTGAGACCTGTGGTCTCATAGTGCAGGCCAAGGGTAAATCTAATGTAATTCCTAGTTTTAATGCTGTGTTTAGGAAGTCCAGGAAAGAATTTTCAGTGCCGTCCATGTTTCTAAAGCATTGTCTCCTTATGTCAGAAATTAAGTGTTTTTTAACTTTTAGGCCAGAAAGTGATCCTTAGAGGTGAAAATGAAAACTGACTGCTTTCCAGTGAGAAAAGCAAGAAAGAGAAGAGTCTCACTGAAGTTCTAACTGAACAAGAGCTATGTAATTGTATCTTCAAGCACTTTAGCACTCTACTAAACAGGCCACTGTGTGTCAACTCCAAGAAAACCTTTTCAGTACAAGTTCAGGTCCTTACTCTGATCAAGTATGAAAGCAGCGTTGCTTTGTGCAACTTCATATCCTTGTTCTGCCAGAAGAAGATACTGAACCACAGCAGAATTTGAATCACCATCTTTATAGCTGTTGTAAGCAGTCATCAGTCTTTCAGACCAACGGCCCCGTTCACATACGTTCTTAAACAACTGCAGAGGAAACAGGAAGGGAGAGAATACTGGTTGTCAAGAACTTCAAAAATTTAGATTTTCTAAGAGGTAAACCTTGAACATTCTGATGCCTGTTAAAAATATTTATATTTCATAGGAAAACCATGATAGATGAGCTCAACTGTTTAAGAGACAGGCTTACTTTAAGATACAAGTTACCAAGCAAATGCATACCAAGATTTAGATGCTTACTCAGAATTACTCTTGACTATCTTAGCTTTTTTGTTACCTTAAATCCAGGTCTAAATGAAGAATTTGGTACTTATACTGATGTTTGCTTTGCATTACACTCTTTTGATTTTCTTCAATGTTAATAAAGCAAATGCAACCTGATATATCAACATTCAAAGTAAAGATTTTTTCTCATGAAATACAA